GACCATTGAACACGATGAAGACCTGGTAAAAAACGAAAGTTACATTTACCGCGGGGCTGAGGTGAGATTAACGTTTATCAGCCAAGGGTATGGCACTTTATACTCGTTGAGGCTTTTTTAAAAGACTAAGCATCCCTCAGCCTCTGCCACTCCTCTAAATTCTCCTTCCACCCACCAGAATGTAGGTTACGATAATTGAACGTTTAAACTTTTGAAAAAAAGAATTAAGAGAGGCATACTTTGTTATTTAAGAATAACCGGTTCTGGAGCTTTTTTTATACATTTATAGGATACACGCAGATTTTGCTCTCGCTCTAAACAGTGCCACGCTTGGAACGGGAAAAAGCTTGCACGGAATACATGGGCATGATGGAAGACGCGCAGATTTCACAAACTTGCATAACATTCAGAACTCGCAAACATGAATGCACGAGCAGAAGACAAACACAAAAATTTAAATGGTCGTATTCTTTTTCTTCTTAAGAATGCTTGCGCCAGTAATCCTTGCAGAAATAATGCAACATGCCAAGCTGGCTTTACGCACAGAGATTATCAGTGTTTGTGTGCTTTTGGATCTGGATTTGAAGGCCACGATTGTGATAGAGGTAAGGAATCCTATAAATGTTTTTGTAGTCAGTAAAATGAATGTGTGGCCATTTCTTATCTGACAACGGGAACGTTAGCATGGAGTCGAAAACACTTGCGGCTAGAGCACGTCAAATACACACAAACCCTTGTATAAATGTGGCGCTCATTTTGTTGTCTCAGACATAGATGAGTGTTCTAGTGAAACAAACAGCTGTGATGAGAATGCTGAGTGTAACAATACCCTGGGATCTTACAAGTGCATCTGTAAAGATGGATTTCATGGAAATGGAACTAACTGCAAAGGTAATTTAGTTGTATCAAGTGAGTTGATGACGTAAAATAGGCCACTGTTGCGATTTTAAAATCTGAAGTTTCGAGCGCTAGTCCTTCGTCAGAGCAAATGGGGGAATTGTGGGTTGTGTGTCTGTTTACATGCGGAATATGGAGTTACGGTATTGGCAGGAACACGGTAACGAGAAAATTAGAATAAAGTAGCTGACTATAACATCCCAAAAATCTACTAAAGCAAACAAACGAGAAAACAATAAAACCACAAAACACAAGATAACAAAATAAAAACAGGCTCCGTACAAAATATGCTTCTTTTTTAATTCTCTAGACTTGGACGAATGTGCTGACGGAACACACAACTGTGGTGTGAATGCTGAGTGTTACAATACCCTGGGATCATACAACTGCACGTGTAAAGATAGATTTCGTGGAAATGGAACCAAATGCACAGGTAACTTTTTGTAACATATCATTCTATCTTATCTCCCCTCATTTTTCTGGTGGACATAGCACCAGACCTAAACTTGGACAAGAGTGTAATGTCCCTAATTTCTGTACGTTGTTCTACCGGCAGCAGGCCCAGAAGTACGAGCCCATCAGTATAAGAGACATCACTCGGTGGGTGGTTAGGAATAAACTTGACACCTTTGGATTTTCTCAATTAATGCTCCATGTATGACTGTATAATAAAGAGACCATAGGTAGGAACATTATCCAAGTTTGGGTTTGACCACAGGACAACAGAGCAGCTTCCTTATCTAAATGTCATTGACATCGTGGCAAACTCGCCTGATTTGCGAAGGGTTTTGTTGGCCTTTGAGGTGATTTCGTCTGCATGCTCTGCCCATTGGAGATCACGGGAATCAGTGATGCTTATGTCTTAAGCTTAAGGTACACACTCGAGTGCTGTCCATCAAGGTCAACCAGGAGATGTAAACGGATTTGCACTTGCAGCGTTGAAAGCTATGCAGCTTGGTAAATTCACCAGTTTCTGAGGAGTTACCAGCAAGAGTGATAGCATATTTGCAGTTGAAAGTAGATTCTATGTTCATTACCAGAGCCAGTGCGAAGATACCGTTATGAAGAAATAATCAACTTAGTCAGTTTTGCTTGTTAGTGAGATTTTCTGGAGATTTTTGCTTCGTTATCTTATTCTGCTGAATTTACAGGAATATTTTCTCTAAGCGGTAGTGTGCAATATTGGCAGTACCCAAAACAATTTGACAATTTCTTAGCAGTGCCGTAACTTTCCCTTTCATTTTGCGAATATTATACAGGGTTTACCGCAGTGTTTACAACTCTTGGTATGAGTGCACGTAGGGGTCCAGTCCGAATTGAAGGTCATTACGCAGGTCAGGATCATGACGGGCAAGTTACATTGTCCAGCGGTATTCAACAATGGACTGTGCCACACACTGGCGAATACAGAATTGAAGCAATAGGAGCCTCAGGGGGGTACGGTGAGGACAGTATCATCAAGAACGGTGGAAGAGGGGCACGAATGATTGGAAACTTTATTTTGACCAAAGATGACATCATTCATATACTTGTTGGTCAAAAAGGGAAAAAAGGGAAGCATAGCTTTAAAACTGCTGGAGGTGGTGGAGGTACATTTGTTGTGAGACGAAACAACACGCCTTTAATCATAGCTGGAGGTGGAGGGGGAATCAAAAATATGTCAGAACAACATCCGGCATGTGATGCGTCCATAAACACCACAGGGAATGCAGGGAACAACTCGCCACTGGGATCAGGTGGAATAGAAGGACAAGGAGGACTTACTAATGGTGTGAATTCTGGTTGGTGGAGAATTTCCTTTTTATAAGTACTGAGAAATTTGTTGCATTCTATTTCCATCCTTCACTATCTCCAACCCAATGATAGAGTAAGTCGCTGATAATCAGATTTTGAAGCATTTATAAAAACCGTAATTATTAAATTTTTCAATATCAATTTTGAAGATTTTTTAATATGATTCTTTTGAAGCGCCTCATACAAGACTTAGGATTTTGTTAAATTTTGCTCTTTTCTTTTCAAATCTCCTGCATATTTAGGGAATTATCGAATGAATTATGGATCCGCAAATATAACGCAGGAAATGACATCGAAAAACTTGACAAGGCTTCTCATTCGTTAACTGCAGATCTGGATTAAACAGAAGCACTAAATAAAGAGTCAATTGCAGCATTTTTACGCTGACTTTTCCTCGTGAGCTTTTTTGTTACTAACTATCTCCACTAATTAAACTTTAAAAATAAAGAACTAAACTAAGTTTCGGAACACCGCGGATCGTCGTTTGATCGCGAGAAATTAAATTTATGGGTGCTATTTGTAAGAGAATCACCGATCACTTTTTGATTGTATTGCAGGTGGTGGTGGTGGTGGCTTCCATAGTAATGGACATAATGCAACGAGCTCTAGTAAAGGAGGGGGAAGAGGAGGTTCAGGATATCTTCAGGGGGGAGAGGGTGGAAAGTTTTCTGGTGGGTTCGGAGGTGGCGGTGGTTTACGTTCATCGAACAAGGGACCGGGCGGTGGTGGTGGTTACACTGGGGGAAGTGGCGGGGTTAAAGAGGATATTTCCTGTGGGGGAGGGGGAGGATCTTTTAACAATGGAACAAATCAACAAAATGAATGTTGCCGTAATAGCGTCGGTCATGGTTTGGTAAACATTACATTTCTCCAATGAAGAGCCCATAGCAACTCTTGTTAACGTGCACACAAAAAAGTTGTGGGTCAGTTCTTCATATTCTTGTGCATTTAAATCACCATATTTCCTCGAATAAGCACCCGGGCTCTTATTTAAAAGCGGGGGAGGGAGGGGGCGCTCACTAAGAAACTATATATAAATGGAAATAAATACAGGTTTTCCTCGTATCCAAACTGTTTGACAAAGTGAGAAAAAATGCTTGTTTGATATTATGGGCTAGGGGGTTGCGCCTATTGGGGTAGGGGGCTTATTAGGGTGTGGGTAGATCTAAAAATGGTTTTCAATTGACTGTGAAAGTTTATTATGAAATCATTTTTTACCTTGATTAGCTCAAAACTAAAGTCAATTTTAAATTTTTATATGATCAGTTAGGCCCATTTTTTTGGTTTTTCCGCCCTTTGGGCCGACTGAATTTCTTCTGCCATTTGCGCTGGTTGTAAGTTATCCTTAAAAATAAGGGTTTGGTTTGTGTTACGTATGGCGTCCTTGGGCACTATCACCAGAATTTCCCATTTGTAAAATGTTGAATTTGATGTTACGATCCCCAGTCCATTGGAAAACGTTCTCCTTCACCTTCTAACAGTTTCCTGCAAAATGAAAAACCGGCACAGGGTTGATGCCAGCTTGTAGATGTGACCATGATCAATGCTGTGTTCTCTGAAGTATAAAGGGGGGAGAGAGGATAACGAAGGACATATTTTACAGACAGAACTGACTGAAATACATGAAATACGTTCGAGATAACCGAGTTTGAGTTTGCGGCGTTCTAAAATGAGACTCTGTCTTCGTCTCAGTGGTCAGGATGAATAATTAGAGATCTGTTTCCTTTTCCATAATGCAGGGTTCAAGAGCAGTTATATATACCAAGGTGATGGCACGTTCAATTTTATGCAAAATCTTTTTAGTTGTTAGATTGTTATTTTTATGTCAACATTTAGAATAGTTTTTCAGAAGGCTCTTATGCTTTTTCACTAAAGCATAGTTAGTAGAGGGGGGAACTGGAAATCCCCCCTCTACTAACTATGACTAAAGTGGAAGAGAATGCTATAATTGACACACAGAGGAAGGACGTTTGTGTTTGATAACGACTAGAAATTAAATGTTTTGAAAATTTTCATGTAAAAAAACTTAGAAAATTGCTTTGTAGGAGTTATAGAAAGGATCTCTCAGATTTAGTGTTGACAAAATAGTACTTGCTCATAACCTTAATTTAAGTCACTATGATAACATGTTGATAACCACAGTTGATTTTAGTCAATAAACTGATTTTTATTCGCCATTGATAGTTGTTTTGTTGTTGTTTTGTCAGAACTCTGATTGTAGTGTTGAGACTTCTGTAGTGTCCCAGCGAAATAACTAGCGAGAAGATGGGTTACTTTCAGTCTCCTTCGCAGCCATTCCCTGGACGTAAGAGACTGGGCGACCTAGAAATACCGCGAATTTAACGAAATGAATGACAAAATTATTTTGAATGTTTTTTCGACACTGCTGTAGTTGTATCAAATTTAACTTTAATTTAAACACCGACAACTGTTTCCCCCTCCCATGGACCAAAAACGACAACACAGTAAACATTAAATAAACAGCCTGTTTCTAAATAGTGTTTATTTCACCCATAATATTCATCGGCCTGTTCTTGTATTTCTCGGAGATTTCTCGAGAAATCTAAAAGAGGAAAATGGGTAACGATAAAGACATGGTTGAAAAGGCGGCAAGATACATATTTTACATAATATATGATGAAACTAGTTAATCAGGTCTCGTAATAGCTCTTTCGGCCTTGGTATCGACAATTGGCCACAGAATAGACTGTCACAGGTAGGGGTTGGTATATTACCAGGACTTCTGTTTCCTTCACTTCCTTTCCACTTTCAGAGTGAGGCAGAAGTCAGACACATCTCAGAACAGGTGACACGCAGGACCTTCACGCAAACTTGTGGAACATGTCTATACTCGAGATACACATATTTACTGAAAGCTTCCTGTCTCTAAAATAAGACCTAGCCTATTACTTTCCCAAGGCGTTATGTGTCATAAGTAGCT